GTCATTGCTGGGTTGAGTTCTGTTTCCATTCAGAGTTCTGCTTCTGCTGGGAGTCCTTGTCCACCTGCTCACGTCTCCCTCCCTTCCCACCCAGGAGCAGGGCCAGAGGAGCTCAGGAAGCACAAGTGATTTAATGAACTTCATTGGAGTCTCGACTTTGCACATGATTCCACAGTTTGCTTCAGTAGAACTATTTATATTTCTATGCTTCAAATGCCAAGAGGAGCAGTGGCTCAGACTGTGGCCCCTCTTGCCCAGGGCTCTGTCTGTGCAGCAGCTCTGCAGCTGCTATTTCAGGAGAGCACAGGGGCAGAGCTGCTCTGTGCTGGCCCTTCCCTTCTCCTCACCAGCAGCTGCAACTGCTGGGCTAGAAATCCCTGACAGACACCCAGCCTTGTCCCTTTAAATCTGTGTTTCTGGCCTGGCTGCCCAGGAATAGATCCAATATATATCTATACAGATATTTATCTAATGATTTCTGAGCTTGCTGACAGGGGCTGCCTGCACAGCAGTGGCAGCAGTTTGATGCCACCAGGAGAAGAATTGCTCTGTTTGGGTGGACACCCCTCCTTGCCAGTTCCTGCCCCAACCCCCTCTAGTGCAGGATTTGGTCACCAGCCCAGGTCAAGCATTACTGTTCATCTGCACAGAGCTGAGCCCTGCCCTGGAAACCTCCTGAAGCAAATGTCTCCTCCTCACTTGTGTTTATCCAGTCCCACAGGACAGGGATCTCTGCAGAAGGATGGGACTGGTGGGATACATTTCACCTGGGGATGTTCTGGGAGAACACTCACTATTGTTCTCTGCTTCCATTTGAAGAGGCAAAGCAGCCCAGGAGCTTTATGTGCTTTCCTAAGCCCTCTGCCATGGATGTGATGTGTGTTTAGGGATAAAATCTGAAATATGGCTTTCTTTGCTGGTATTAATATTGCAAAGTGAGCATCTGCCCTCTGCTTGGCTGTCAGAAACACAGGAGAGAGATCTCTGGAAATACAGCTTGGGCACACAGAGAATGTCCTCTCAAAAAGTTTGTTTTGTCATGAATCAGAGGGGCTGGAGCGTGTCCAGGGAAGGGAACGGAGCTGGGAAGGGGCTGGAGCAGCAGGAGCAGCTGAGGGAGCCGGGGGGGCTCAGCCTGGAGAAAAGGAGGCTCAGGGGGACCTTCTGGCTCTGCAACCCCCTGACAGGAGGGGGGAGCCGGGGGGGGTCGGGCTCTGCTCCCAGGGAACAAGGGACAGGAGGAGAGGGAACGGTCTCAAGGTGCTCCAGGGGAGGGGCAGGTTGGACATTGGGAGTAATTTCTTCACTGAAAGGTGTCAAGCACCAGAACAGGCTGCCCAGGGCAGGGGTGGAATCACCGTCACTGGGAGTGTCCAACACCTGAGCAGATGTGACACTTGGGGACAGGGTCAGTGGTGACCATGGTGGTGGTGCTGGGAGTTGAACATGGTGCTCCTGAAGTTATTTTCCAACCTTAACCATTGTGGGATTCTAGGAATAAGCCAAAGTAAGTACCCCAGGCAACCAAACCCAGAATTCAAACCTCACTCAGCCAGAGCGGAAATCACAGAGCAACACTGTGGTGCTGGATTCCTCAGAACCCCTGGTGCCAGAGGAATTATTGGGGGTGGTGATTGCACAGCAGAGCATGAAGCAGTCAGGAAAATCCCCAAGGGTGACAGTTGCGACAATTGTTCCAAACTGCTGGATCATGAGCCAGAAAACATTGTGTTGCCATTGTCTGGGGGGTCCTCACTGTTCCATTCAACCAGCTCAGCTCCAAACCAGTGAAAGAGGTGTGGGAAATGTCCAGGGGGAGGTTGGCAGAGGCACCAGAGCTGGAGGGAGAACAGCTCTTTGGGCAAGGGGAGCCTGCAAAGCCTGGGACCAGAGGAGAGGGCATGGTTTGAGTTGGAGGGGACCTTCGGGATCTTCCAGTTCCACCCCCTGCCATGGGCAGGGACATCTGCCACTAGCCCAGGTTGCTCCAAGACCCGTCCAACCTGGCCTTGGACACTTCCAGGGATCCAGGGGCAGCCACAGCTTCTCTGGGCAACCTGTGCCAGGGCCTGCCCACCCTCACCGAGGAGAATTTCTTCCAAACATCCAACCTAAATTTCCCCTCCTTCAGTCTGAACCCCTTCCCCTTGTCCTGTCACTGCAGTTCCTACCAAAGGGTCCCTCAGAAGGGGCTCCACCTTCCCTGGAAGGTTACTATGAGGTTTCCATGGAACCTTCCTTTCTCCAGGCTGAACACCCCAACTCTCCCATCCTGTCTCCACAGGGGAGGTGCTCCAGTCCCCTTATCAAATTTGTGGCCTCCTCTGGACTTGCTCCAACAGCTCCAAGTCCTCCTCGTGCTGGGGGCACCAGGACTGTCCAGGGTGCTGCAGGGGGGCTCAGAGCAGAGCAGAGGGGGACAATCCCCTTCCTCAATGTCCTGCCCACAGTGCTCTGGGGGAAGCTCAGTACAGGGTTGGGTTCTGGGCACATTGTGGCTCACGGGGAGCTTTTCATCCACCCTCACCCCCAGGGCTGCTCTCAGTCACCTCTCTGCCCAACCTGCAGGAGGGCCTTGGTACAATCTAAGTCTTTTCTGAGTTATCCATGAAATATAAAATGCTACTGAAAAAAACCCTCCTTCTGTGGGCAGAACCAGGGCAGCAGGGCCTCGGTCCTGCTGGCAAACAGCGGGTGCCACAGGACGACGTTTTGGCGGAGATTGGAAGTTCAAGGTTGGTGTGCAACACACAGCTGGAATTCTGCTAAAGGTGTTCAGCCTCTGGGTGGTTGTGAACAGGTTCAGGAGCTCCATGAGGGTGTAGGGACATGGGAACAGACCCCCAGCCTGGCTCCATGGGCATCAGGAGCAGCCTGGAGCAGCACAGGACACCCTTCCCCCCCCGCCACTCTTCTCAATCCCTTTGCAGGTCGGGGATGTCCCTCTGGACCAAGCCAACCCTTCCCAGGAGTTCAAGGCATGGTCATGCTGGGATGAGCTCAATCTTCCCCTCTCTCCTGAGAAAGGAACCAAATTCCTCGTTGTATTTGCACAAGGGGGGGTAAAAGTTGCAGTTTGAAGTGACAACCCAAGGTCTGGGTCACGAGGGGCCTCCTGCCAGTCCATCCATGGAGAAGGGCAGAGCTGGGCTGTGTCTGGGATACCTCTGGGGGGTGGAGTAGATAAGGTTGGTTTTGACTGGGCTGGAAAGTCCTAATGAATGTGTGACCCCAAGGAAATCAAAGCACTTTTCCATACAGAAATATCATTTCCATTCCTGGGGCTGGGGTCCAGCTAAATCCCACTGCCCTTGAGGCACATGGCTGATGGGAGGTTTGGAAAGAGCCAGAGGATTTCTGTAGCATTAGTGGGCCCTTAGTAAGGCTCCTGCAGGCCATGAGTCACTGCTCCCACATTATCATTATTATTATTATTAATTATTATTATTATTATCATTATACTATTATTATCACTGCCAGAAACCCACAGAAAATTCATGAGCTGGAACTCCCAGTCAGGACTGAGCCTCCTGCTCCTGGGTAAGGCTGAGTTTGTCAGCTGTGTTTTCCTCAGATGTGTGTTCACTGAGAGGGGCCTGACTCCATGTGGGAGACAAGAACAGGCTGTGTCTTTCAGCCCAGAGCTGGTCATGCTATCGACAGGAGCAAATTACAGGGTAATTCAGCTCGGAATTACTCAGTAATTTGGAAGATAATTACCAGGTAACCTGTGACAACCTGCCCCAGATCCTGCAGGGACAGTGTTTGCATGACATTGGCTGTGTAATTAAAGAGCAGGTCCCTGGATGTGCTCCCGGAGATAAAGGGATACCTGAGGTGTGAGTAAGAGGAATTCAGAGTTACTGCTCAGTGCACTTCAGAAGAACATCAGCTGTGTCATCTTCCCTGACTTCAGGCCAAATCCCAGCCACTTCCAGTCCGCCTCCTGCGGCTGCCTGAGTGAAAATCACATTTCTATCAACTGCAGCTTCAAGAACCAACAATTTCTTGAAGAGGCCTGTTGATGGGAGCCTTCGAGGGAATCACCTCAGCGTTCACCTTCCCCTCCTGGCAGGGGAGGGACCTGCCTCTGCCTCCCCCAGCAGCTGAATGCACAGAAGTGCCCCAGCCCTGCAGAGTCACTGCTGTCAGTCCTGGGCTGCATTTTATAGGCTCTGAACAGCCAGAGGTGACTCCACACCCTGCCTGGATTGGCACCGTCGGTTCAGGAGAATCCCACAATCATGAGGGTTGGAAAAGCCCTCCAGGAGCAAGTCCAGCCTGAATCCCCCCATGTGACTAAAGCACAGCACAAAGGGCCAAGGCTGCTTGTTTTGTGAACACTGCCAGGGCTGGGGACTCCACCACTGCCCTGGGCACTGTGCCAATGTTTGCCCACTCTTCCAGACAAGACCTTCCTGCCTGTCTGTTGGAATCTTCAGTAGAGACCCTTGAAGTGTCCCCAGCCATTGCCTTCCTAAAACCTCAGAGTCCCAGACTGGTTTGGGTTGGAAGAGAGCTTAAAGCACACCCAGTGCCACCCCCTGCCCTGGGCAGGGACACTTTCCACCAGCCCAGGTTGTTCCAAGCCCTGTCCAACCTGGCCTTGGACACTTCCAGGGCTGGGGCAGCCACAGCTTCTCTGGGCAATGCAGGTAAACAGGTAAATAGTCCTGCCCAGGTTCAGCTGCTGTGACAAGACATCAAGGAGCACAGGAACGAGCTGAACTGCCTCCTGGCTTCCCTGAGCTCCTTGCCAGCCCAGATCTGACTGTTGCCTGTCTTTCCTGTGCCAGTTGTACACAATCTGAGTTCAGGACCAGCACCATGGCCTGTCCCTGGGCAGCTCCAGCACAGGGAGGTCCCTGCTGATGCCAGAGCTTCTCTGTGCTCTGACAATAATAAACACAACTAATACACAGAAACACATCATCTGAACTTAACAGCCTGAGCTATGAACACTTCAGGACTCTTTTTTATGAAAGGGAAGCCATAGCAACTATTTATTACAAATAAATCCCAGCAGCCCCTTATCTGGGTGATGATTCAGAAAGGCACAAATGTGTCATGAGGAGCATTTTCCTGAGTCAGACCTATCTGAAACCACACAGAGCAATTGCCATCATTTTCCAGGTGAACTTCAGAAGAAAATTGTGATAGTTCAGCTGTCCCCAGGCCAGCTGATAGGACACCACCTCTTCCACAGAAAGGCAGGGCCTCATCTGTGTCAGGACATCCAGGGCTGGTTCCTTGACTCACAGAGGAGGAGCTGGAGCTTCTGCAGGCAGGGGATGTTCAGGCCCAGGGATCCTGACTGAATCCAGGTGCTGACAAGACCTGTAAGACCGTGTGTCCAAGGGGTTTACAAGCCCTTGAATCCTTGGAAGGCAAATTGGGGAGCCCCAGGGAGGCACTGGGAGTCCTGAGTGTGGTCAGGGCCAGCTGGGCACAGGGACAGTCCCTGTGGAGCTCCTGCATTTCTGGGAGGGAGGAGGGAGGTGGTACCTCCCCCCAGGACTGAACTCAGTGTCTGGAGTGAGCTGGAACTCCAGCTCTGGCCATGGCAGAGAGAACAGAGGGAAGGAAGCAGGGAAGGATGGAGGGAGGTCATTGCAGAAGCAAAGTCCCCAAGATTTCAGTCCTGGTTTTACTCTGTGTGTTGTGTTTGTGTTTCCTCCCCTTGCTTGGGGGTTTTCTGCTTTATTAAAAAAATTCAGACAGAAATTTATACTTTCTATTCCTAGCTAAAATCCTCCAGGTATTTAGCTGGCATTAGTAGTCACCACATGTTATTTCCACTGTCCCCTGAACTACCAGAGCTGCAAATGGTGCTGTGCCAAACTTCTCCTCAGTGCCCACATGGCACTCAAAACTCAGGGTCACTGCAGCATAATCTTCTAATAACAAACATAAAGATGTATTCAGTGACATTTCAGTAAGCTTCTAAGCCAAGTATTTCTCTGGGGGTCATCGATCAACTTTCTTCTTTTCATTCCAGAATTTTTAGTGTGTTCCATTTTCCTCACTCTCACTAGGAATTTTTCTCTCTTACAATCCCACCACTTGGCTTAACAAAGCAAAGCAATTGAAGAAGATCAAGCTAAAAAAGAAGGAATAATAAACCCCACAAATTACTGAGGCAAATGTATGAATGGAAAACAAAAAAACCCCAGTCATTCTGATTTTTTGATAACTCAGTTGTTCATGCAGCTGAGGAAAAAAATAAAGTTATGATTTTTGAAGGTGAAATACTGGATTTTGACAAAAAAACCCTGTCCAAACTCTATCAAAAATTGCTTTAAGCAAAGAGATTTAAGTCTTTCCCTCTAAAATGCATCTGCAGGTGTGACCAGACACTAAGTGGGGTCCTCATGGTTTCCTCCCAGCTTGGGATGTTCTGTGATTCCCCATGATCTGAGGTTTTCTTGTGTTCTTCACTTCACTGGTGAAACACTCCCAGAGGAAACTGGGTGCCTTTGATGACTATTGAAGCCTCTTTCAGGGCTGCACTGAGGGACAGCCCTGGCAAATGCAGCTCCAGGGGCATTTTCCTCCCATTTTCCTCCCGTTTTCCACAACTGAGCTCCCGCTGCCTCACCTGTTGCTGCAACACATTCTCACAGAGGGGAACCAGGAGCTGAGCAAGCTCTGGGCTTTCTCAATTGTGTGTCACCTCAGTGCAGGGGGAAACAATTCCCAAAGCAGAGCTGGCCAGGAGGAGGAATTTTCCACCACCTATTTTGAATGAACGATTTGGTTTTGTTTTGTTGGAAATCTGTCACGGAATTTCTTTATCCAGCGCCCCGAGTTGGATATTTTCCTGTTATTGTCTCTTATCTCAATCCCAGAAGTATGAAAAGAGATCAAACTATCTGAAACAGAGGGTTTTTTTCGTTCTTTACCTTGAAAACGTTTCAGCTTGGCCCTGCAGGGAGCCAGGAGCTTTTCCTGGCTGCACCTCTTGCTCCTTTGCCAAAGGCATCCTGGTAGGCTCCAAACTGGCAGGAGTGGACTCCCTGTGTTTGGATGAAGGGAAGCACATTTGCTCAGCCACAGGCACGTGGCACCCCCAGCCCTCTCCCTCTCCCCCTCTCCTTTGCCCTTCACCTTTTCTCTGTGTTCCCACTCCAGATTTAGCAAATCCTTGGGAGGGTGTTTTGGAGAGTATTTGCTGTTTCTGAGGGTGACAACAAGCACAGAAGCCCCTTGGTCTGAGGCAGCGAAACAAAAGCAGCCTTTGGGGAGACAAGGACTGCAGACAGAGCTCTGAGCCTCCCCCTGTTCCTTCAAAAGCTCTGTGTGGTCCTTCCAGGATGTGTCCAACTGGTCCTATGTCACAGAGGTGTGGAGTCAAGGAATGGTTTGCGTTGGAAGGAACCTTGAAGCTCATCTCATTCCACCCCCTGCCATGGGCAGGGACACCTCCCACTAGCCCAGGTGGCTCCAAGCCCTGTCCAACCTGGCCTTGGACACTTCCAGGGATTCCAGGGGCAGCCACAGCTTCTCTGGGCAACCTGTGCCAGGGCCTCCCCACCCTCACAGGGAAGAACCTCCTCCTTCTCTAATCTTAATTTAAAATCTAATCTACTCTCTTCTAATCTCATATCCTCTAATTTCATCTCATCTCATCTCATCTCTAATCTTCCTCTTCCCATGTATTCTTAACCCACTTTCTTTTGTTTGACTTCTCTGCCCCTTGTCCTGTCACCTCCCCCTCACTGGGGGAAGGTTGTCCTGGCACAAACCCCCAGAACAGCCCTTGCCCTGAGTGTGGCCAAGAGACTCCTGTTACCCATTGATTGGTGTTTCAGATCTGCAAATCCCAAAATAGTTGGGAATTCCATCCCCTTGGAGACAAGGGCTGATGGTGCCCCAGATATGGAACCTTCCTCTGGTTCTTTCAGATCCCTCTGGAGGAGGCACAGACAGCAAAGCAGCAACACAGTGATGTTTTAAAATAGGGTGCAGATGGCCTGGGCACAGCATCATTCCCTTAATAAAGGGCAGAGACCTAAGCTGGGACTTCAAGGCCTTTGGCAGAACGTGCCTGTGGCTCTTCAGTACCATCCTCCAGAGGATTTGCCCCTGTCTTGTGTCCTGCTGCAGTATCTGGTGGTCCCTGCCAGCAAACCTGGCTTGTCAGGCAGCACCTCAGTCTCTGGTGATCAGGTTTTCCTAACCCAGAACAAATTCCTGCATGGTGGGGGGAGGGCTTGAGCCTTTCCTCCAGCTCAGCATCTCTTTGTGTAACAGTTCCCCAGTTGGAGATTATTACCAGGCCCTTTACCAGGGAGATCCCTTTTGTTGAGTGGAAGGGCCCATCTGACACAGAGTTGGGCCCAGAGAGACACAGCCCAGGAACCCTCCAGAGGAGGTGGATAAAATTAGAAATTATTCCCTGGGAGAGTGGCGAGACCCTGGCACAGGTTGGGCAGAGAAGCTGTGGCTGCCCCTGGAATCCTTGGAAGTGTCCAAGGCCAGGTTGGAGCAACCTGGGATGGTGGAAGGTGTCCCTGCCCATGAGGTGGGACTGGATGGACTTTAAGGTCTCTTCCAACCCAAACCATTCCATGATTCTCCGAGGTTTTTTGGAGCAAGTGAGATCTTGCTACTGCTCAGGCCCACGGAAATGAGATGCTCACACTGCCCTGAGAGGTGAGCCCTGGGCTTCTCTGGGACGTGGAATTTGTTCTTGTGTTCACCTCCTGCACAGGCTGCACTGCAGGTCCAGCTGCTCCAGACACCTCCATGATAAATCCTGTTCTGTGCTTTTGTCCTCCTCTGGGAAGGTGTCACTTCTTCCAGAGAGCCAGAACCTCCCCACACATCCCCAGACTGGGAATGCTCACGTTCACCATGTCCTGAAGTGTTTTTCCAGCTCCGTTCAGAGCTGAACAATGCCCAAGGCAGACATTTCCATCATCTGTGTCTGCAGATACCAGCAGACATTTTCCTGCATGTGCCCTGAGAGCTGGGGAGCCCTGGTTCCTTATCAGGCCTTCCCAGGCATGGAAAAACATCCCATCCCTGGTGCAGGTTTCCTTGCTTTAGGAAGAAGACACCTTTGCAAAGTGTGTAGCAACTGGCAAAGAGCCCAACCTGCACCCCAGGGGCCTTTGCAGAGCTGTCCTTGTCACCAAGGAGTGTGAACAGCTACAGGAGGTGACTTTTAGAATATTTCCCAAAAAAGAAATATCATCCAAGGCATCCTGGCACGGTGCTCACACGTAGGTTTTTATAATTGCTGGCCAAATCTTCCTTCAGCTCCTCTTCATTTACATGCAGCATTTGATCAAGTAGTTTCTACTAAAGTTAATGATACTTTTGCCTTAATTAAAACCTAAATGAGGACTCCAACTGGTTTTGTTGCAGCCAATCTGTACGTGGGGCTGGGACTTTGGGGGATGCTTTACAGTGAAGCTGCAAAATCTCTGCTGGGAGTGAGTGCCTGAGTCCCACACAGAGGGGGCAGAGCTGGGAGGAGGAGGGGACAGGAGGAAAAAGGGCTGAAAAACACAGATTGGGTGAAGGTTTTCCAGTTTCTGGGAGCACCTGAATGGTCAGGTCAAGGCAAGGTGAATCCTAAACTGCTCCTGAGGGATCCACAGGCTCCTGACAGGGAGTGTTTATGTAGATCTGGGCAGACTTTATCCTGCTGTGAAATATTTATGCCTCAAATTCATGTCCAAATACAGCAGAATCCTGAATCACTTTAATTTTTGGGGACATGGTGTCTGGTAAAGACCAAGAAGTGTGTGCCTGGTGTCTGCTCTCTGCACTGCCCGTCCAAGGACACGGGGCTGCTGCAGGGGCACCTCTCAGGACTGGCACCTCCAGCAGGAAAGACTGCCAGGAGCAGTTACACAGAGCCCAACATCTTAGATCCACAGCCCTGAGCCCACTCCTCTGGCCCAGCAAGATGGGCATGCATGGGAAAGCAGGAATGGGCACGGCTGGCAGGGCTAAAATTCAGGAGCAGAAACATCCTGCTCATCACCTGGTAGTGCCCAGAGAGATTCAGGTGGGATATCAGGAAAAATGTCTTCACTGACAGAGTGGTCAGGCATTGGCACAGCTGCCCAGTGGTGGAGTCACAGCCCTGGAAGTGTTAAAGAATGGCCTGGATGTGGCACTTGGGGGTGTGGGTTAGTGGGCACAGGAGGACTCAGTCAAAGATCAGATTTGATGGTCTTGGAGGTCTTTTCCAGCCTTAATGATTCTGTGGCTCCTGAGAGAGAGGAACACGGTGTCTCTTTTCCTTTCTCTGGTCACAGAACACGACTCCTCCACCCTCCACCTCTGCCAGTTGTCCCCAGGCTGGACAAACCCTGACCAGGGACTGGTTCTGTGCTTGGCAGTGTCACCGAGCCTCCTCAGCCTCCCAAAAATCCCTTCTCCTTGGGGCCTTTCGTTCTGCCCTTGGAGAGCCAAACCCAGCTGCTCTGAGTGGCTTCTCCCTGTCCTAAAATTGCCTGGGAACAAATGATGCCTGCAAGGAGGCTCAGCAGAGCTCTGTGCCAGGGCTCAGGAGCCAGGAGGAGACACTGCTGGGGACGAGCCTTTGGCGAGGACAAACGCCAGCGAGCTGTGATCGATGGGCTGGAGCAGCTCTGGGCTCGTGAGGGGCTCTGTCTGTACATGTGTATGACCCGGGGGTTCTGTCATCCCTCTCCTCTGTCACACTGTGCTCTTCTAATCCATGTGGTGAAATGAGTTTGGAGATTGCTGAGGGCACAGACACGCTCCAGTGATCGAAGGGAGAGCAAGGCATGGATATGAAATCCCGCCCCGGGGGGAGAATTACATCCCTGCTTTTGTGCAATGTATAATTAACCAGTGGAACTCATTTCTGTGATATATTATCGAGGCAAATGTCTGCACTGAGCTTCAAATAACGATCAGACAGAAGTGGGGAATGGAAAGTTTCACAGAGCAGGGCTGGCTGCAGTTCCTGCTGCTGGGAGTGGGACAGCCCAGCTCCCTCCCTTGGGGCAGCCAGGGAATGGGAACTGAAATGGAACTTTGCCACAGCTGACTGGACATCTGGATGAGCAGCTGAGCCTCCTGCTCCTTAGGAGGGCAGGGTTGGATGGGATATTGGGCAGAAGTTGTTCCCTGTGAGGGTGGGGAGGCCCTGGCACAGGTTGCCCAGAGAAGCTGTGGCTGCCCCTGGATCCCTGGAAGTGCCCAAGGCCAGGTTGGACGGGGCTTGGAGCAATCTGGGCTAGTGGAAGGTGTCCCTGCCCATGGCAGGGGGTGGGACTGGATGAGCTTTAAGATCCCCTCCAAGCCAAACTATTCCGGGATTCTCCAGATGTCAGGAGCAGTGCAAGGAGCAGGAGGATGCTCTGGACAGAGAAAGTACAGTAATTAGGGAGCTAAACCAGCGTGCAGGAGAGATTGGATCCTCAGGCTCAGCAGGGCATGTGTCCATCCCAGCCAATGCCAGGCTCCCCAGGCCTGACCCACAGGCTGGGCAGGGCCTTGGGTGAGTCTGACAAAGGAAAGGTTGCAGTGAGTGCTCCTGCCCTGCCCCACCCAGGGGGTATCTCAGCACCCCAGGGCTGCTCAGGGGACCCCACAGCACAGGATAGCCAAGGTTGGAATGGACACCTGAGGTCATCGAGTCCAGGCATGGAGTGCCAGGTCCAGCACTGAACCTTGGCCCCAGCACAGACACCTCAGCTGAGGGAACAGATCCACAGTGATGTGTCACATCCACACACAGAGACAGGGAGGTCTCTTAACTGGGACCTGCTCCATCCTCGATATTTAGGAGTGGAAAAACCCCTCTGTGCCCTCTGAGTTGTAAGGAACAGTTGGGAGCTGCTGCTGCCTCACTGTTCCCACTGTGCCAACAGTGGAAACCTGTTCAGGTCTGTACATTTACCCCTCTGGTTCAGACCTGGGCACTGAAGTGATGCAAACCAGACAGAGGGATTTCAGGCTGTGGCTTCTGCGCTGGTGCATCTAAATATTTAAGATTGCAGGTGCAGGTGTGAGGCTGTGCAAGGACCAGGGATTGAAGAGTAAGTGTGAGAAGAGTTAATCCTTTTTACAGAGCCTATTCAATGTCTGCCAGAGTTCAAGAAGAGTTTGTCCTGTGCAGGGCCAGGAGTTGGACTTGATGATCCCTGTGAGTCCCTTCCAACACAGGATACTCCATAATTCTATGATTCTACCAGGATGAGGTTTAAATAGTCCCACAGGGTTTCCCCCCTGGTGAGAAGGTCCCCATGACTTTGGGTGAGTGTGTGTGTCTGTGC